CCCTCGACATCCTTCCCCGGGTCCATCTTAAAACTAAACAACTTCTCCAACATGTATATTTTGTTAGGTGAACAGGGCATCTAAAGCAATCCACAAAGCTCTAGCAGTTTTAGCACTATCAACTTGTCCACAATATTGTCAGATAGATGTAAAATTATATAACTGTAAGCAGAACAGGGCATCTAAAGCAATCCACAAAGCTCTAGCAGTTTTAGCACTATCAACTTGTCCACAATATTGTCAGATAGATGTAAAATTATATAACTGTAAGCAATTTCATTCATATCTTCAATTTCAGTTGTTTTAGCTTTTAAGGCATGTACTCGTGGATACAACAAAAAAGGTTTTGAAAAATTCTTTTTCAGATGATCAATATAAAACTGAGTACCAAGTTTAAAAAACAATTTTTAGAAATGAAGCACAACAGTGAAATAATCCATTCACGAAACACAGGTATATAAAGCAGGTAAATATGCTTTCAGGTTACAAATTAATCACAAGAATTCAATCAACAGAATTCACAAATAAGCGACCAAGCAATAACCATGCATAAACCGGTAAGGATACCAAACCTAACCTAACGGAGAGTTTGGAATAATCTTACCAAACTATTGTTGACAAACAGTAAATATACCACCAAGTTTCTGAACCAAATTGCCGTAGACGTCAAGGTAGGGGCAAAATCGTCCAACTTTTTCTGTAAAATCTGAAACAAAAAACAAACGATATCAGTGCGTTCAGAACGTCAAAATAAGTAAACTGCCCAAAAAAGCTCGCCGGAGGTCCGGCTACGCGCCGCCGCTGGTCACGCGCCCCACCACAGGGTGTGCATCCTCCTGCTGGTCATGGTTCCATGGTCCATTTCGCCGGAAAGTCAATAGGTTGGCCGGAAATCAAGTTTTTCAAATTCGGTTAAAAAATGGTAATGGCGATTCCTTGCTGATTTTTGATCGATTTTGGACTAATATCACTCCTCCTAGCTCTGATACCAGTTTGTTGGGGATCCTAGGAGTTCAATCAACCAAAACATCAACCAATAGCAGATATTCTAAGGCAAAACAATGAAAAAGGGATGGAAAAATACAACCTGTCTTTGGCCGAAATTTCTGCAGTTTTCCTTCCTCGTTTCAGCAGCTTCTTCTTCGATTTATGGTGTTTTTCAGGCTCAGGAACAGCCTCCATGACTTGCAAATCACCTTCCAAGAGAGAGGGGGGAAAATCAGGCAAAGAACCACCACCTTAAGCTAAAACCGAGAGCTCCCCTTCTGCTGGGAATAAAAAAAAAAAACCGAGAGCTCCCCCTTTCTTTTGAAATGGTAGAGAGTACATATGAAGGGGAAGGAAGGAAAGACCATGCCTCTGCCAAAACGTGGGAAGACCTTATTGTGTCAACATCAATACCATCAAGTCACAACATTGGGTGGGGTTAGGTGAACCATATCCTCACATGCTGGTTCAAGTACAGAGCAGAACTAATATGATTATAATTCAAGAATCTAGTGCAACTTCAATTTCCTCCATATACTGAACCTAAGATGGCTTTCCAATTTTGAAGATGTGCTGGTCACGCCCCTAAAGCGGGTCAATTACAGAAAATCATACCTCTCTTCCTCTTCTGGTACCTATGGAATGAACGAAATAATAGAAAGCACAAGTGAGTTAAAATGAAGCAGAAAGAGTGATTTGGAAAGAAGAAGATCACATACTATTACTTGAAAAAGATCAACTACTAAAACCTGCCAATAAGAAAAATATTTTCTTCGTCAGTTTTCATACTTCCGATGGATGCTTCAAGGGCACAGCCAACAGAGAAGCAGGAGATGGGCTAGCAAGGGATTGTGAGGGCTTTGTCATGTTTACATTTTATAATTATCATGATGAATACAATGGCCTTTAGGCAGAAGTAAAAGCTTTAATTACTGGACTAAGATTGTGTATACATTATGATTTTCTAAAATTTGGCGCAGGGGAAGATTTCATACATTTCATTAACAAGCAAGTAAAAGGACCATGGAATATCAGTTACATAGAGGAAATCAACCGGCTGATGAAGAAAATGCAGTTAAATTTCACACACAT